GCTTCATAAAGCTAAAGTCGCATTTCTTCCCTTTCAGAATTTCAAACAGCCTAGGCCAGGCACGGTGGCTCACGCCTGTAATCCCAGCACTTTGGGAGGCCAAGGAGGGTGGATCATGAGGTTAGGATTCGAGACCAGCCTGACCAACATACTGAAACCCTGTCTCTACTAAAAATGCAAAAATTAGCCGGGCATGGGTAGGCACCTGTAGTCCCAGCTACTTGGGAGACTGAGGCAGGAGACTCACTTGATTGAACCTGGGAGGCAAAGGTTGTGGTGAGCTGAGATCATTCCACTCCAGCCTGGAGCCTGGGCAATAGAGCGAGTCTCCGTCTCAAAAAAAAAATTTTTTTTTTCAAATAGCCTTTATGAAAAGTGAGTTATAGATTTTTTTTTTTTTTTGAGTAACAAAGAATTGTTTTTAGTGAAGCACAGCTTTTACGTAATTTTCTAGAAAAGTGATCACTTTCAAATCAAGCTAGCATAAAACCTTTACCTGGAGTACATTTGACATATATGAAACTTGGGAACGTAGAATTCCACGTTTCTCCCTGTGGTGATGATCTAGTGAACACCAGTGTCACCATGATCCAAGGCAGAAAATGAAACATTGCAAGCACTCTGGAATCCCTACACATGTTCCTTCTCAACCATAACCTCCTCTCCTCCCCTAGAGGTACCTACTAGTCTGAGTTCTGTGGTAACCATTTTATTTTGTTTGGAGTTTTATCATTAAGTAAAAACAATAGGGTATCATTTTGCGTGTTACTAAACTAAATGTACATAGAATTATACACTGTGGTTTCTTTGGCTCAGCACTTTGTTTATACAACTGTGGTACTGTGATATATTAAATATGTACTTTGGTCTTGGTCTTTATCTCCAGCTCCTGGCCAGAGAGTCCATAATTCTTTTAATTTCCTAATTGATAAAGGTGAAAGGTGAAAGAAATGTCCTCTTTTTTTTTTGAGATGGAGTCTTGCTATGGTTTGAATATTTGATCCTCCAAATCTTATGTTGAAATGTAATTCCCAGTGTTGGAGGTGGGGCCTTTGGGAGGTGTTTGGGTCATCAGGATGGATTTCTCATGGATGGCTTGGTGCTATCCTGTCAGTAATAAGTGAGTTCTCACTCTATTTTTTATTTTTATTTTTTTAGCGGATTTTCACTCTGTCACCAGGGTAGAGTGCAGAGGCGCGATCTCGGCTCACTGCAACCTCCACCTCCCGGGTGATTCTCCCGTCTCAGCCTCCTGAGTAGCTGGGATTACAGGTGTGTGCCACCATAACCAGCTAATTTTTGTATTTTTAGTAGAGACCGGGTTTCACCATGTGGAGATGGTCTCGATCTCTTGACCTCGTGTTCCGCCTGCCTTGTCCTCCCAAAGTGCTGGGAATACAGGCGTGAGCCACTGCGCCTGGCCATGTTTTCCTTTATTTATATTTTTTTGAGACAGGCGCTCACTCTGTTGTACAGGTTGGAGTGCAGTGGTGTGATCATGGCTCACTGTAGCCTTGACTTCCTGAGCTCAAGTGATCCCCTCACTTCAGCTTCTCGAGTACCTGGGATTACAGGCACATGTCACCACACCCAACTAATTTTTGTATTTTTTAAGAAATGGGTCTGGCTAAGTTGATCTCAAACTCCTGGGGGCTGGTCTCAAATGATCCTCCTGCCTTGGCCTCCTAAAGTGCTGCGATGCATGGGTGGTTCAGTGGTAGAATTCTTGCTTGACTAAGGTGCTGTGATTATAGATGTGAGCCACTGTGCCCAGCCATGATTTTCTTCTAACCATGCTGATTATTGCATGAGCTTTAGTTCATACATTTTATTTTGCAAGTATTCCATTATTTGACTATACCACGTTGTACTCTTGATGAGCATGTTGATTGTTTCCACTCTGTGGCTATTACAATGTGTTGCCAGTACTGTTGTTCATGTGTTCTGATGCATGTGAGTACACCATTTAAAAATATATATATATACCTGAGTATTGCTGGATGTCTTAGTCATTTTGTGTTACTATAATAAGAATACCTGAGGCTGGTAATTTATAAAGAAAAGAAATTTATTTGGCTCATGATTCTGGAGGCTGAAAGACTCAAGACTGGGCAGCTTTACCTGATGAGGTTCTCAGACTGCTTCAACTCATCAGGGAAAGAGAAGGGGAGTACTGTGTGCAAAAAGATCACATAGCAAGAGAAGAAGCAAGAGAGAGAAACTGAGGAAGACAGCTAGTCTATTTTGCAAGAGCAAGAACCTACTTATCCTTAAGGGAGGCCGTTAATCTATTAATGAGGAATCTGCTCCCATGACCCAAACAGCTCCCACTAGACCGTGCCTGTCAACCCTGAATGAGTTTTGGTAGGGACAAAATATCCAAACCATAGCACTGGGTGATAACAATGTGTATCTTCAACTTTCCTACATAATGCCAACCTATTTTCCAAAGCCACTTGAAATTGCTAAGCTTTTCCATTTTTGCCAATGTAGTGAATGTACGTAGTATATAAAGACATATTGCTTCGTGATCATGGTATCTCCCCTGCCAGGTAAGTATAAAGACATATTTCTTTCTTTCTTTTTTTTTTTTTTTGAGATGGAGTTTCGCTTTTGTCGTCCACGCTGGAGTGCAATGGCACAATCTCAGCTCACTGCAACCTCTGCCTCCCAGATTCAAGCAATTCTTCTGCTTCAGCCTCCTAAGTAGCTGGGGTTATAGGTGTATGCCACTATGCCCAGCTAATTTTTGTATTTTTAGTAGAGACAAGGTTTCACCATGTTAGCCAGGCTAGTCTCGAACTCCTGACCTCAGGTGATCCACCTGTCTCAGCCTTCCAAAGTGTTGGGATTACAGGGGTGAGCCACCCTGCCTGGCCAAAGAGATTTCTAATTTGCATTTTCTTGATTAATAATGAGTCTGATCATCTCTTCATGCATTTATTTGCCATTCTAGGTTTTCTGTTTTGTGCAGAATCTTAAGCTTTTATGCTTTTACTTTCACATTGAAGTCTAGGAAGTATGACATAGGGATGCAATTTCTTTTTCTTTTCCTCTGTTAGTACCTGATTGACCCAGCACCATTATTCAGAACGCCATCCTTTTTTCAATCTTCTGCAACGAAGGCTTTGTCTAGTCTCGAGCATCCACATACACATGGATCTGTTTGTGAGTTTTCTACTATGTCCCATTATTTGGTTTATCTATTTCTGCACCAATACTATAGCCTCTTTGAACAAAAAGAGAATGATTTAATGCAATATATGGAGTGGAGAAAGTCAAAAAGTCCTTTTTGTTCAGGTTTTCCTTGGCCTCTCTGTGGAGCATTCCTCCCTGTGACCCCCAGTGGGATAAGAGCCCTCTAGAACTAGGGTATATTTTCTTTACAGCCAGCGGTCACATAGAAAGGCAGGGCTGGAAGGAGGTTAGAGTAGTATTTGCAGGTGCCATGGCCGGCTTTGGGGGAAAAAGCTTCTGGTTTCTATGATTTGCAAGGGGGAAGAGGAATTCTAGTTGCTGTGGTTTGCCTCAGGAGGAGTGGTCACAGAGAGGAGGACAGGAGAAGGTCAGAGAGAATGGGCTTCTGAAGCTGATGCTTGACCTTCATTTGGGGTATTGTTTTCTGAGCCACAACAGCATTCATTCATATGACCCCTTGTTAATGAAAAGAGTCAAATTCTGGAAAATATTTGAAGAGATTTATTCTGAGCCAAATATGAATGATTCATGGCCTGTGACATAGCCCTCAAGAGATTCTGAGAACATGTGCCCAGGGTGGATGGGGCATAGCTGGGTTTTGTACATTTTTGGGAGGCATGAGACTTCAATCAAATACATGCAAGATACACATTGGTTTGTCTGGAAGGACAAGACAACTCATTGGGGAGGGGGGTGCTTCCAGGCGTAGGTAGGTTTAAATATGTTCTGATTAGCAATTGGTTGAAAGTTATTATGAATAGAAAGAATGTCCAGATTTGTGATAAAGGGTTGTGAAGACCGAGGTTTTATTATGCAGATGAAGCCTCCAAGTAACAGGCTTCAGAGAGAATAGATTGTAAATGTTTCTTATCAGACTTAAGGTTGGCCTTGATGTTAGTGGCCTACCCTACCCCCTTCTATCATGGCCTGAACAAGTTTTTCAGGTTAACTTTGGAATGCCCTTGGCAGAGAGGAAGGGTCTATTCAGATGGTTTGGGTTCAGAATTTTATTTTTTTGGTTTACACCATTATATCTGAACATATATAAATACAAACACAAACTTCACCAAAAATTACTTTCCTTTTCTATTGGTGTGTGCGTTTGTTTTGAAACAGGGTCTCTGTTACTCACGCTGGAGTGCAGTGGCATCTCAGCTCACTGCAGCCTCGAACTCCCAGCTAAAGCGATCCTCCCACCTCAGCCTCCTGAGTAGCTGGAACCACAGGCGCTCACATGACGTCCTGCTAAGTTTTTGTATTTTTGGTAGGGAAAGAGTTGCATTATGTTGCCCAGGCTGGTCTGGACTGCCCGGGTTCACGCGATCCTCCTGGGTTCACGCTATCCTTCGTCTCACGCGATCCTCCTGCCGCGGCCTCTGAGCTGCTGGGATCAGGCGTGAACCACCGTGCCCGGCCTTTATATTTTGTTTCGGAAATGCTGAGATGGACGCAAAGGGCAGAGTGCTCAGTGTCCGCCAGCCGCCCTGGGCCCCAAGCTTCCGTCCAAAAAGGCATCGCCCTCTTCCTGCCCGGGCCGCTAACAGCACTAATACAGTCCGAGTGACGTCTGCAAAGCTCCGGAACGGCGACACATGGAAAGACGGGTGGGATCCTGGGGGCCCTCGGAAGAGCCGCGCAGTCTCGCGGCGGACGCCGCCAGCACCCACACACTCCCACCCAGGCCCGGGCCGCCAGCCAGGACCTTCTAGCCAGCACCTCTATGGTTTAAAAAAAATAAAATAAAAATAAACAAACCCAGGAAACCGGAAGTTGCCCGCTTGGCGGGGAAGGGATGGGCGGGGCCTCAGAGGGGCGGGGCCTCCGTTGCGGACCGAGGCGAGATGGCGGCCACAGAGGGGGTCGGGGAGGCTGCGCAAGGCGGAGAGCCAGGGCAGCCGGAGCAGCCCCCGCCCCAGCCGCCCCCACCGCCGCCCCCACCGCCGCCCCCCCAGCAGCACGAGGGAGAGATGGCGGCCGAGGTCGGGGAAGCCGTGGCGTCCCCCATGGACGACGGGTTTCTGAGCCTGGACTCGCCCTCCTACGTCCTATACAGGTAACGCCCCCGCGGCGGCCGCGGCGCGGGATTCTCCCTGAAGGCCGAGCTGCCCCAAGGCCCGCGGCGCGCGCTCCCGGCCCCGGTGCGCCCGGCCGAAGTTCCCGCGGTGTAGCGTGGGCCAGTGCGGGGCGCTGGGCCGGGGCAGCAGCCGTGAGGTCGTCTCTTCCCAGGGCGGCGCCGACGCGAGACCGTGGGGACGCCGAACAGCGAGGTCTCGGCTTCCCGCTCGCTTTAAGCCGCGCGGAAACTGCTGCGTCCTGAACCGCACTCGTTCAGGTCTTCAGACGTCGCGTTTCGTAAATATAAGAAATTTCCCGCTCTCTTTCACGGCCCAGAACGCTGTGCCGGTAACAAGCAGTGAATACCCAAGGGTTAGGATGCAGTTCTGGTAGTCGGGCAGTAAACCAGGGCCAGATTTGCTTACCCTAAAAACGAGGTGTGAGGGCTTCCCGTGGCTTGCTCTGCTTGGAGCACTGAGGCATTTTCATCCAATCCGTATTTTAGCGCCTCGTATCAGCCAGGCTAAAGGCTGAAAAGAGATTTGTTACTGAACCTCTCTTAAGCCTCCCTGCATCGCTCCGTATATAATACAAGTGATGTGTACTGGAGACGCCCCTCGTCTTTGCCGACACCCAGTTCCATCAGTTCTTTGCTTTTAGACGGTAATGCTGATTCCCTAATTCCCTGTGAACCTGCAGAGATAATCGCCTTAGTTTTACATTTGTAGTTCTAGGTAAACCCATTCTGTGGCTTGTTTACCTTGATTTTATGAATGAATAGAAGTCACTAACTAGAGTTTTTTTGTTTTTTTGGAGATAATATTTTACTCATTTAAATTGGTAGCCCCATAACTCTCAAGTTAGCTCTCTGGATTGTGAAATACGCAGGTTCTAACATGACTGTGTGTGATTTCCTGGTGACTAAATGACAGCGTTACCTTTCCAGGCCACTCCCCCAGGCTTTAGGTGTCACTCTCAGGTCACGGCTTCTCTTGTATTTCTCCTTGTATAATGGACACAGTTTCTAGCATGGATGTCACAGAATCTTTGCTGTCAATAGTTGATCATTATAGAGAAATAAAAAGTGAAAGGAAGGCCGAAGGCGTTGGCTCATGTCTGTAATCCCAGCACTTTGGGAGGCTGAGGTGGGCTGATCACGTGAGGTCAGGAGTTCGAGACTAGCCTGGCCAACATGGTGAAACCCCCTCTCTACTGAAAATATAAAAATTAGCCAGGCTTGGTGGCGAGCACCTGTAATCTCAGCTAATCGGGAGGCTGAGGCAGGAGAATCGCTTGAACCCGGGAGGCGGAGGTTGCAGAAAGCCTGGATTGTGCCATTTCACTCCAGCCTGGATGTCTAGAGCGAGACTCAATTCCCTCCCCCCCCCCAAAAAAAAGGGAAAGGAAAAGAATATAAGTGAATGTGTTGAAGAGAAATTTGGTCACACTGGGTAGTTCACAAATTTCTGTAAAGCACTAATTGTTACTATACAGTTATTTTAGCATTGCTTATTAGTAGTCATTGAATGCTGCCTGTTTGCAGTGGGTGTTTTAAGTGCTTAACATCTGTTACCTCATTTAATCCTCCAAAAAACCTTATAAGGTTGGTTGGTAGTAATATTGCCCTCTTTGTAAAAATGATGAAACTCAAGCCCAAAGAAGTTAAGTAACTTTCTGAAGGTCACACAGCTAGTAAGTGGTAGAGCCAATGTTATGACTTAGGCAATTGTCGGATTCCAGAGCCTGCTTTCTTATTGATTACATGTACCACCTCTTGAGTATGTTAATGGTGCTTGCTTATTAAAATGTCAATTCCTAGCACTTTGTTACTCAAACTTTTAAAAAATGCTGACTGACTCGAATCTTAGTAGACCAATGAGTTAGACTGATTTCTAAGTTAAAAATACTGTGGGCCAGGTGCAGTGGATCACCTGAGGTCAGGAGTTTGAGACCAGCTTGACCAACATGGTGAAACCCATCTTTACTAAAAATGCAAAAAATTAGCTGGGCATGGGGCGGGCGCCTGTAATCCCAGCTGCTTGGGAGGTGGAGGCAGGAGAATCGCTTGAACGTGGGAGGTGGAGATTGCAGTGACCGGAGATCCGGCTACTGCACTCCAGCTTGGGTGACAGTGCAAGACTCTGTTTCAAAAAAAAAATACTGTGTACTTGCTGCAAAAACATGTTTTCTACTTATAAAACTTTGAATTTGAAAACCTGATTAATGTTTCAGCATCTAGGGGTTATTTGTTTAATTTTACTTTAGTAGTTTAATATGTAAAGCATATTGGCAAAACTTGGTCATGGAGAATCCAACCATGATTGCATTACGAGCCCTGTAAGTTACTAATATTAATGTAAGTGTAATTGTTGTCATTTTTAAAACACTAGAGTTCTTTTTTTTTCTTCTGTATTTGAATGTAACCACTGGTGGGGGAATGTCTGTTTTCAGGGACAGAGCAGAATGGGCTGACATAGATCCAGTGCCGCAGAACGATGGCCCCAATCCCGTGGTCCAGATCATTTATAGTGACAAATGTAAGTTTGTTTGAATTAGGAAAAGGTCTGTAAGTTAAACTTAGTAGCAGAATTGGAATTCACAACTATGTAGCAAGATAGATGACAGATTTTTGTCTAATAAAAATCTCAGTGACTTAAGATGAGTTAATTTTGTGCTTTTTTTGGTGATTTATCTTTATGATTAAAAGTTTTATTTTGCCCAAAGACTGGACATATTCTAAGTAATGAACAAGTAATGAATGTTACAGTATAATAGATAATAGCTACTATGTAATTGTGCATTTCTTTTCCTTCCTGGAGACCCCACTGCCTGGGAGATTGTGCATGTATAATACAATATAAATGAGTTACTGTTTTTAGAATAAACTTTGGTTGCTGAAACATCAGCATTTAAAAATATATTTTGTCAATGAAGTGTTAGGCTCAGTTTAATATCAAAACTGAGTGGTATTAAAATGAATGGATATTAGAATGAGTGGATTTTTTTCTTTGACAAAGTATCATTCTTTTATAATGAATGAAAATGTAAATTGAAGGTTATGCAAATGTTAATTGTTAATTGTTCTAGGAAAGGGTAAATGAATAAAATAGAATGACATTTTTGTAATTTTATGTATATATATGTTCTTTCAGCTAAGGCTTTACTAAGATCATTCTTTTACAAAAGCATTTTTTTGCTGATAACCAAATGACAATAAAAAAATAAAATGACAATAAATGTTTTAAAAAGAATAATGAAACAGGTTTTCCTTATTAAGTATACAAATATGCCACTAAATGATTAAGTGGAAGTAGCACAGAAATAGATTAATAAGGACTCTAGAAATAGGTCCTCACTCTATGAAAACTTAGCATATGATAAAAAGGACGTTTTATGCCTTCATGAAAAGGATGGATTAATCAAATAATGGTTTGGAATAGTTGGCTGTGCAATTAAGTAAAAGCAGAATTGTATCCCTATCATTCTTAGGGTGAAGAAGGTGTTTTTCGGCAAAATGTAAACCTCAGAATCGATTAAGGAAAAGGTCAGAATATATAACTGCACTAAAATGCAAAACTCCCATACTTTGAAGGATATTATATGTGAAGAGACACTTCACAAAATATCTATAAAGTTATATTAACCTTACTAGTGATCAGAGAAATACAAACCATAACTTTTTCAGATTCATAAGTACTTATAACAGAGATGTTGGGGGAAACATATAATCAAGTTTCCATTGAGGATAAATTAATAACCTTTTTTTGCAAGGTATAAAATTAACATTTTGGGCTGGATGTGGTGGCTGACGCCTGTAATCCCAGCACTTAGAGAGGCCAAGGTGGGCACGTCACCTGAGGTGAGATCACCTGAGGTAGGAGTCCCAGACTAGCCTGGCCAACATGGTGAAACCCCATCTCTACTAAAAATACAAAATTAGCCAGGTGTGGTGGCAGGAACCTGTAATCCCAGCTACTGAGGAGTCTGAGGAAGGAGAATCACTTGAACCCGAGAGGTGGAGGTTGCAGTGAGCCGACATTGTGATCTAGACTAAATGACAAGAGCAAAACTCCGTCTCAAAAAAAGAAAAAAAAAAAAGAAAAATTAACATTTTGAATTCCTACATACACCATAGGTAAAACCATAAAATAAAAGATAAGTTTGACCTGCCAACCATTTATAGACAAATAGATCAATTTAAAACCACAGCAGAAGAAACCATGAACAAGTAGCAGTGTGAGAGAAGATACGTCATATAAAGCAGGATCCATATTAAAACTTGTAAGTCATTTCTGCAAAAGGATAAGGAGACAGAGAGTTTAATCAAAAAATGGACAAAGGGTATGAACTGGCAATTCATAGAAAAGAAAATGCCATTGGCCAACAAAATAGGAAGAATCTCTTATCGTTAGGAATGAAGGATAGACAGGCTGAAATGAGAATGCCATTTTTCACCCGTGGTTTAAGTGGCAGAAATGAAAACTGTCTTATGATGTTAGGTATTAAGTTATATGAAGAGCTCCATACGTTTCATATGGCAGTTTTCGTATGTTTAGCCATTTTGGAAAGCAGTGTTGTTATATCTTTTAAAACTGGAAAATGCACCTATCTTATAGCCTAGCAATGCTGCTTCTGATGTGATATTCTGGATTCATTCTGGCACATGACGTGAGAAGATATGCGCAGGAGGTTACAAGGACAGACTTTGGAGCCAGACCATCTGGTTCAAATTCTAACTTAGGCTGGGCGTAGTGGCTTACGCCTGTAATCCAAGCACTTTGGAGGCCAAGGTGGGCGGATCACCTGAGGTCAGGAGTTCAAGACCAGCCTGACCAACATGGTGAAACCCCATCTTTAAAAAAAAAAAAAAAAAAAATTCTAACTTCACATTTTACTGACTGTAATCTTGGACAAGTTATTTAACTCCTATGTACCTCTGTTTCCACATGTGTAAAATGAGGATAATGGTACTAACTATAGATGTAGTAAATTATTCACATAAAATCATAGAATAGTGTCTGGCTCATAGTAAGCATTATATACGTTAGCTACTATATTTGTAGCATTTTTGGAAAAAGTAAGATAATTGGAAACTACCTATATGTCTATCTTTTGGAGAAATTGATAAAATGCATCATTGTCATACAGTTGAATACTATATAACCATTAAGAGGATTTAGATCTATTATAACATGAACAGATCTCAGAAACAATGTTGAGTTAAAAAAGGCAAAGTAGGCCGGGCATGGTGGCTCACACCTGTAATCCTAGCACTTTGGGAGGCCGAGGTGGGTGGATCACCTGAGACCAGGCCATCATGGTGAAACCCCATCTTAAAAAAAAAAAAAAGGCAAAGTGTTGGAAACTTCGAGCACAACAGTATGTCGTTCATAATTTTTTTTTTTTTTTTTTTGAGATGGAGTCTCACTCTGTCGCTAGGCTGGAGTGCAGTGGCAAAATCTTGGCTAACTGCAACCACCGTCTCCTGGGTTCAAACAGTTCTCCTGCCTCAGCCCCCTGAGTAGTTGGGACTACAGGCCTGCACCACTACGCCCAGCTGATTTTTGTATTTTTAGTAGAGATGGGGTTTCACCACATTGGCCAAGATGGTCTAGATCTTTTGACATTGTGATCTGCCTGCCTTGGCCTCCCAAAGTGCTGGGATTATGGGTGTGAGCCACTGTGCCTGGCCAATATAATTTTTAAATTAAGGAATATGTTAGGCCAGGCGCAGTGGCTCATGCCTGTAATCCCAGCACTTTGGGAGGCTGAGGCGGGTGGATCGCCTGAGATTAGGAGTCTGAGACTAGCCTGACCAACATAATGAAACTCCGTCTCTACTAAAAATACAAAAATTAGCTGGGTGTGATAGCAGTGCCTGTAATTCCAGCTACTCGGGAGGCTGAGGCAGGAGAATCACTCGAAACCAGGAGGCAGAGGTTGTGGTGAGCCGAGATCGTGCCATCGTACTCCAACCTGGGTAACAAGCGTGAGACTCTGTCTCAAAAAAAAAAAAGAATATTTTAATGATGTTTCATTTTACCTTTTACATTGACTTGGATTTTGGTTGCTTACATAGGAACCTAAGGCTTCGGAGCTATGCCAGCCTGATAGGCTCCAAGTTTATTTTATCAGTGTGCATATGTATATGTGTATATTTTATGTGTATGTGTGTGTAAAATAATGTTATATGTATACATTATATATATAGTTAACGTTTTATTTTGTTACAAATTTGAAATTATTTGGAAGCTTGTTTTTTTTGTTTTTTGGTTTTATTTTTTGAGACAGAGTTTCGCTCTTGTTGCCCAGGCTGGAGTGCAATGGCATGATCTTGACTCACTGTAACCTCTGACTCCTGGGTTCAAGCGATTTTCCTGTCTCAACCTCCTGAGTAGCTGGGATTACAGGCATGCGTCATCATGTCTGGCTAATTTTGTATTTCCAGCAGAGACAGGGTTACACCATGTTGGCCAGGCTGGCCTTGAACTCCTAACCTGAAGTGATCCACCTGCCTCGGCCTCCCAAAGTGCTGGGATTACAGGCGTGAGCCATGGCGCCTGGCCAAGGAAGCTTAGTATTAATGACTGCATAGTATTTCATAGTTGTTTGACATTTATGTTGTTTCTAAATTTTGCTCTGGAATGAATTCAACTTTTTTTTTTTCACCCAGGCTGGAGTGCAGTGGTGCAAATCTCAGCTCACCGCAGCCTCTGCCTCCTGGGTTTGAGCGATTCTCCTGCCTTAGCCTCCCCAGTAGCTGGAATTACAGGCCCATGCCACCACACCCAGCTAATTTTTGTATTTTTAGTAGAGATGGGGTTACACCATGCTGGTCAGGCTTATCTCGAACTTCTGACCTGGTTATCTGCCTGCCTCAGCCTCCCAAAGTTCTGGGCTTACAGACGTGAGCCACCGCACCCGACCTAGTTTACACTATCTTTAATAATGTATGAGTGAAAAAAGCAAAGCTCAGAGTGGGATGGGATCTCGTTTGCATAAAAATGAAGGATGGAATTAGGCCATATACTTGGAGATGCATAGAATATATTTCAAAGGATACAGTAGAATCAGTTAATAATGGTTGCTTTTCTGTGGGGGGGGATTGGGAATTTAGTGGAATGGAAATTTAGTGTGAACCTTTTTGTACTGTTTTGAGTTTTCTGCCTTTGGACATATTTTTCACTTAAAAATCTGATCATCAAAATAAAATTTCAGAAAAACAGCTATATGAATGTATTTGAATGTATGCACCCCTAATTTTCCTTTTACACATAAGGCCTATGGGAGATTTGGAATCTGGCATGAATTCTTATGCATGCACGTAAGCAGTAGGCATATGGTTAGACATAAGTAGCCCATGCTTTTTGTGTCTGTGACACTAGGGCATTATCAGGGTGGCAACCATAGCCATTTGACTGCTTTTTGATATAAATGATACAAAGGCCAATAAAATATCCTTCTGCGTAGATATAGCAACATTATACATTATAGTGCTAGTTGTAAGTAAGATGGTCCTAATGTGGTTGTGTGCTCTATCTCTAGTTAGAGATGTTTATGATTACTTCCGAGCTGTCCTACAGCGTGACGAAAGAAGTGAAAGAGCTTTTAAGCTAACCCGGGACGCTATTGAATTAAATGCAGCCAATTATACAGTGTGGTAAGTAATATATATTGTCAGTACTCCCTGCATAAATGTTTTACTTTAAGTGGCTTTTCTTTTTTAAGCTCTACATTAATTTTTTGGTTGGGGGGAAGGAGTTTTGCCCTTGTTGCCCAGGTTGGAATGCAGTTGGTACGATCTTGGCTCACTGCAACCTCTGCCTCCTGGGTTGAAGTGATTCTCCTGCATCAGCCTCCCGAGCAGCTGGGATTACAGGCAGCCACCACCATGCCTGGCTACTTTTCTTGTATTTTTAGTAGAGATGGGGTTTCACTATGTTGGCCAAGCTGGTCTTGAACTCTTGACCTCAGGTGATCCATCCTCCTTAGCCTCCCAAAGTGTTTGGATTACAGATGTAAGCCACCAAGCCTGGCCTTTAATTTTTATCAAAATAGCGATTTGAGTATGGGTTTAAGAAGCTGCATGAAAAAAAGTAGCAATCTCCAGCCCATTCCCTCCTACCATCAGTTCCACTCCGCAGAGGCAATAACTCTTAGGGATTTTTTTCTTGAATTAATCTCCATATTCTAGATAATTTGCTTAATTGTTATTTTTTTTTTCATTTTAAACATTATTCCTTCTGTGAAAGATCGTTCATTCTCCACTACCCTCTCTGTATCACAGATGAGCACTCAGTTTATGTTCATGCTGACCCACATTTTAAAGTGTAATTACATTCCTTCTAACAGAGTGTCATTTTTGTTTTGTTTTCTTTGTACTGACAGGTAATTTGTCTTCCAGATGCTCTGATATATGTGAAGTGTCATTTTTCTATTGAACACAGGTCATCCTTCAGTTCCATTTTTCTTTTCACTAGTTGGATACTGCATACCTGATCTTCAGCTCGTTCATGTGTTAGATCTGCTGTGTCCTAGACGCCATACCCTTCTCTTTCTTGATTTACTTTCTCATTTTATAGAGCACATCATGGAGTAGAAGGATGGAAAGTAATTTTTGAGATTTATACAATTAAAAATCAGTAGTCTCTCTTCAACTATAGTAATAGGATTCTAGATTGGAAATTATTTTCCCTGGGAAATTTAAAACTCTTTCTGTTTCTCTTAGCTTCTTTTCAGGTTGAGATTTCCATTCCTTTGTTTAAAACTTTTTTTAAGTTCTGGGGATTTTTTTGTGTTCTTCTGATAATTTCTTCTCTCTTTCCTCTGTTTACTTTTTCTGGAATTCCTTTTAGTTGTATGTAGTATCTCCTGGATTACCTTTTCTTATATCCATTTCTTTGTCTTTTTATTTTCTTTTGAGATATTTCCTCAATTTTATTTTCTAACTCTTGTATGGATTTTTAAAGATTTCTACATTTAATTTGGGGGAGAAGTTTTTTGTTATCTATTCTTTTTTAAAGTAGCATCGTGTGTGTGTGTGTGTGTGTGTGTGTGTGTGTGTGTGTGTGTGGTGTGTTTTAGAAGTACAATTACCTTGGAGTTTAAACTAAGAGAAAAAAGTCGTAATGTTTTCATGAAATATGTACTTGGTTCCTTAAATAACAATTATGTGACAGATAGGGGAAGGAATTAAGGAATGTTGCCCTTGTGATCCATACAAACCACCAACATTTTAGGTTGTACACAATTAAAGAAATATCTGGGTCGAACGTGATGGTTTATGCCTGTAATCCCAGCTCTTTGGGAGGCCGAGGGGAGCAGATCACAAGGTCAGGAGTTTGAAACCAGCCTGGGCAACACAGTGAAACCCCATCTTGGGATGCCTATAATTCCAGCTGCTTGGGAGGCTGAGGTGGGAGAATCACTTGAACCCAGGAGGCAGAGGTTGCAGTGAGCCGAGATTGTGCCACTGTCCTCGAGCGTGGGCAACAGAGCGAGACTCCGTCACCAAAAAAAAATTAGGTAATACTGGAAATACTTCTTAAAACACTGTAATAGCCAATACATAGAGGCAAGCCATAGGTGGGCACAGGAATGCAGTTTAGAAAAGAAAGAAAAAATCATATAGGAACTACTCAATTTCTTTAAAATCACTGAGCAAGAAAAGCAACAGTGAACTTTCTTTTTTTTTTTTTTTCGTGTTTTAAAAAAGTGACATTTTTTTATTACTATCCGTAGGTAGGGCCTGCATGAGGTGGTTGGTGTGCTGGGCTCGGGATGATGTGTGGACTGTGGAGATGATGACAGAAAGGCAGGAAGGAAATGGGGTGGATTTGAAGGCCAGGCCCAAGGGGTCCTCAGGTCCGCTTCTTGGAAGGGACAGCCTTGAGGAAGGAGTCATGGCAGGCCATAGCTAGGCCACCAATCAGATTAAGAAATTCTGAGAAATCTAGCTGCCCATCATTGTTGGTGTCCAGTTTCTTCATCATACGGTCAAGGACACTGGGGTCCTTCTTGTTCTTTGTGAAGGCAGCCAGTTCTCTATTCATGATGCTTAGGAACTCCGTCTCGGAGAGAATGTAGTTAACAAGCATCCTTTCCAGCGTACTTCTGGAAAACAGTAGTTAGGGACTTGATGCACCACTCACCCTCTGTAGGGCTGGAGATTTTTGCCACGTTGAAGCTGAACGAGGCGTGTGGGAGGCTGTGGCTGGGAGCAGCGCTGAGAGCTCTGGGCATGGCATGCAGGTCTGGAGCCTCTCCCCGACGCACCAAAACATTGAACTTTCATATTGATTTTACACAATTCCTATATAGTACCTTGAGCAAAAGTTAAGACTCTTCTCTATTTTTGGTAAATGACTGCATGGTAAACTTAGATGACTTTTTCCTCTGGATTTTACCTGGAAGTGGCTTCTTAAAATTTTTATTTAAAAGAGGGCAGGTTTGTCAATTTTATACTGATGTCACCAATGTTAATATTTCTTGGGATCTCAGGAAGATTCGTATTCTTTACAGCTGATAACAGCGCTTCTGCTAAGCCAGCCTCAGATTTTTCTAGCTTATTTTCTGTATCAATTTGTGTAACAATCTCATTCATGTTAGTCTCTAATAGCATTCCCCCCATCACCATTTCTGCAAGAATATTGTGCACCTTGTCTACATGGAAGATCAAATCCAGTTCACAGACATTTTTAAAACATTTGTCTAATGTTTCCACAAATACGTGAATTAGATCTAAAATGTCAAGTTCACTTTCTGAAGAATCAACACAGAAGACAAAATATTAGCATTGCATAATGTTTATAAATCAGTTTGTTGTTGGATCCTCCAATTAATAATCTTCCTTCTAGGAAATTACAAACATTTTCATCTCTCTTAGATACCAAATAGAAAGTCCCCCTGATGATTTGCTGTTGTGTATCTTCACTGTTGGGCTGGTAGAACTTGGAGAGCCTCGGCTTCCCGTGGTTGTTGAAGATTAGGATTGCCTTGATCATGGCTGGGCACTGGGGGGCCAGGGCAGGGGCAGGTGGAGTCTCGCCAGAGATCCTTCCCCACCCATCCCTTCCTTTTTTTTTTTAAATTTCATGGGTATGAGATCTTTTCATCTCTTTTGGCCTCTTTCATGGTTGGTAATTCTTGACTTTCTCTTTATGCTTATAAGAGAGACAGGAAAAATCCTGACTGAAAGCCGTGTCTGTGGCAGGATTTATCAGCCGGAGGGCTTCTCTGTGAAGTGAAGCCCTTACTGAGTGGGGATGTGGCTGTGTTGTAGTGAAATCTCACTTGTCAGTATTTAAATCTTTTCTCTTGGACAGTGTCTCTCAAAGAGGATTAAGTAGTTTATTGCTTAAGGAGTGTACGTTTGGCTGCCACAGTTCTGGGGGGTCAGGCAGGGGAAGATGTTAGGAGAGTCTTACTGTTTAGGATATCAACTTTTTGCAGATCTTACCTTGTCACTTGAAATACAAACTTTTTTTTTCTAACTTAGTATATCAACATTTTAAATGTCCTTGTTTCCACCCTTTAACTTTCCCTGCCTTCTAGTGTGCCTGGTAACACATTCTGCTTCATATTTTTCCAGAGGATAAAGCCACTTGTCTCCTGCCCAAGACAGAGGATGTCACTTCTGCTCAGGGGAGTGGGAAGGGTCTTGACTGCCAAGGACTCTTTTTCTATAGTCTTTCTACTGCTTTTAGTCCCACCTTTGACCCTCAGTTTTGGAAATATGTCATACCTCTGATTTCTGGAATTTTCTTACAGTCTTATTCTGTGTTTTAGTCAGTTAAATCTTGTCTGTCTGCTTAAACTTCCCATAATGTTGTTGACCTCTTCCAGTTGCCGTGGTGTCTTTGTCCCAGATTCTCTTTGTTCTTGTGGGTTTATTCCTTTGTTGTCATTTTAGTGGGTTTTATTAGGGAGTAAGAATAAACTCGTTTACTTAATCCAGCCTGTTTAACCGGAATTCTCAGTGTGTTTCATCATTCTTGGAACTTAGAATACACTTAAAGATTGCCTGCAAGTTTATTGATGTGGAAAAAAGCAGTATACCTGGAATCATTACCCATAAAAGCAGCCAAGGGCTTATATTTACAGACTCCGTGAAGTCTACTTCAAAAAAATAATAATGGAGAGAAATGCTATTGTCTCTCCTACTTTGCAGTTCGTTTTCTTTTATTATTACTATTTTTGAGACAGACTGTCACACTGTTGCCCAGGCTGGAGTACAGTGGTGTAATCTTGGCTCACTGCAACCTCCGCCTCCTAGGTGCAAGCAATTCTTGTGCTGCTGAGTAGCTGGGATTGCAGGTGTCTGCCAGCACATCCAGCTAATTTTTGTATTTTTAGTAGAGATGGGGTTTCACTATATTGGCCAGGCTGGTCTCGAACTCCTGACCTCAAGTGATCTGCCTGCCTTGGCCTCCCAAAGTGAGCAGTTCATTTTAAAAGCTAATAAAATTAGGTCCTGGAATGCCCTTTACTTAGTAATTGGAAATTTTGAAGTAAAAATATGCCAGAACTAACTTTTTAGGAAAAATTTTTTTGTTGTTGGTTCTCTACCTATGGGGAAATTAAAGAGAAACTTGTTTCATTTATAAGTAACATTTTTGTGGTGGTTCTACAAGTAAATATTTTGTTAATGTTTATAATAGAATTATTATATGAATAATGTATCTACAGAAACAAGCTGTACTGTATAGGGAAACAGATGTCTTTGATTCTCATATTATAGAACACCAGTGACCAGAGTAGTACCTGAAAATAATTTTAGTTGGTTTTCTATCATTACTTAAGATTTAGAAGTTTACTTTTCTGCTCAAGCCTGTAATCCCAGCACTTTGGGAGGCCGAGGCGGGTGGATCACAAGGTCAAGAGATCGAGACCATCCTGGTCAACATGGTGAAACCCCGTCTCTACTAAAACTACAAAAA